TTTGGTGCTTCATTTCCGGGAAGTGACTGTTGGCTTTTCATATTCCCTATTTAAATAAGCTTTTAAATTAATGTTGTGGCTGTTTGTATTCCCCCTTTCATACCTATAAATTTGAGGGGTTATGTTATGTTTTAGTTATGTTATGTGATGTGATTTTTGGAAATATGAACCTGCGGGTTTCATTGGAAAAGCTTGTGAGCTTTGTCCGTCTTCTTTCTCCTCCCCTCCGGAAATCTTGTGAGCTCTTTCCAACCTTTCGTCTTGGCTTCTAACCTCTTTCGTCTCTCCGCAAGTGCCACTCCACCTGTATCCCTCTTCTCTAAGTGAAGCAACTTTAAGGTGTCTTGTTTGAGTCAAGTTTGTTTGAGTCAAAGTTTGTAAGTCTTTCATTTTTATAATATTAAAGTTTGTTTTAAGCATTTTATGTCTTTACTTTGTATCTAGAAAGTTTGTCGTATCGTGATAAAAAAAATATAGGGTCCCCTATATTTTTTGACTGCATCAATGGTACTAGGACCCAATGATAAAATGGTCGGAGGCATTGATGTGGTTGGTTGATAGCAGTGGTAGCATTAGGTTGGCAATGGTAAAGTAAGGCTTCGTTTGGGACGACTTTCTTCTTGCTTCTTAAAGTAGTATTTTTTACAAAAATTATTATTTTGTACTAGAAAGCTGCTTTAAGAAGCAATAAGAAAGTCGCCGTCCCAAACGAAGCCCAAGCTAATAACGGTACTAGGACCTAATGATAAGGTTGGTTGTTTATCTGGTAATGTTTTTTTTATGGTATAGGGACCTAAACAAAGTTGGAATCAAATAGAAGCATCCAGTGGTAAAAAATGACAATATGAGGTACCCAATTGGTGTTGGGCCTAAGGCTTCGTTTGGGACGGCTTTTTTATTGCTTCTTAAAGCGACTTTCTAGTACAAAAATTAAACTAAAAATTCGCTTTAAGAAGCAATAAAAAAGCCGTCCCAAACAAAGACTAAGTTTGAGGTATCTAAATGTAATTCATACTCAATCTAATTGATATTTTTTAGTTAATTCCATTTATTAGAAGATATCTTTTTTAAATAATTGAACAAGAACAAGTGTGATGCAGAAAGAAGTCTGTGATAAAAATTGGATATTTATAGGCATGAATCAAACGTATCAGTTTGATGAGATTTTGAAGTATATTTTAGGTAGTCATTATTTCTCTAGGAGTTGATCATCCTGTTGTAAATTAAAAAAAAATTAGTGCGCATTATCCTTATCATTTATTTTTTGAAAATAATACAATCATCATAAATATATATGAAAAGTTTCTTACTTTGAAAATTATTATATTGCCATCATCGTCATAGAAGTTAATTATCATTATGATCATCACTTAAATTTAGGAAGAAATCAAACTTTAAATTCCTTATGCAATCAAGAAAAGAAATATTATTTCATATATGAAAGGATTGTGCTATTAGCATCTTTAATTAAAGGTGGAGCAATCAAATAATATATTACAACAACATCAAGCCTTTATCTGACTATGTGGGGTCGGCTACATAATCTTTTTTCTCCATTGTCTCCAATCAAAGGATATATTAATCATTATAAAAGCAACTATTGAGATCCATTCTCTTTCCATTGAAGGATGATAGAAATTTTAATTTTTAAATAAGAAAACAAGCATGGGACATCCCTCCTATCTCTCCCCACCTTTTTGTAAAATTTCAATGGAAATAAGAAAGCTTTGGATGTATCTGATGTAGAACTAGATATGCAGGTGACATTGAATTGAAATTCCTTGTACTTTAACAGAGCTTAACAAATTATTAATTCAACATGAACTTAAGCAATGACTTCATTATGCAAGAGGGTAATCAAGTTTAAGCAATCAATCATAAGCTAATAGGAGGACCAATAGATAATCAAATAAATTAGTATCATGCTTGCGTGATGTTTCAGAAATAATCCCTAAATTAACAAATAGATTAGTCACTACAACGACCCACTCACACGACACTCTTGGTATGGACTATGCATATAAGTTTTCATAATAAAATGTTTCCATGATTGAGGGGTCAAAAGGTGCGCGGGGGGGGGG